TATATATATATTTGAAATAACCAAAAATCATAAATTACTATATCAATACCATAGAATTACACTAATTTATCAAGCTTAGTAACAAAGCTGTACTTAGGTCTAAAAAAATATGAAATTTCAAGTTCACTAAAGTCCTACCTTACCAGTTGGAATCTTGTATAAAAAGAAAGATTTCCATATCCGTATTTTTGAAAAAGGCTGAGAAAGCCACTGAGCTTTCGATTGGTTATTCACATGTTGTAGACAGAAGTAGGTGTACGTAAGCAAGTGTTTCCAAAAATGGAAAGAGGTGAGCATGGCCACTGTATTTGAGTTAGTAAATTTAGTGATATCTCACCAAATATTCTTAATTTATATTATATTGTCACTATAGGTAATTTGATTTCCTAATTCACAAGAAGCTATAGACTTTGTATTTGGAAATCTCAAACATCTAATTTGAACCAATACTGCATTCAACATACCACATGACACACACAAATCAATATTTAGGTGTGTTTTTAATATTTACTTTTACATTAAGAAATTAACTAATGTATAATACTAAAATCTGAATTATAATCTTCAATTTCATACCTAACTTATTGACATCAATTCATGAAATAGTAGTTGAATATAGTTGAATAAAATTTTGAATGCAAATCAACAAACGAGATGACATGGCCTTTGACCCGTGTCGATAGGGTTAATGGTGAGAATGATAGGATTTGGAACACACAAGTATAACTTTTGGCAGGGTAGGAAGTAATCTTTAGCTTAGACAGCATTATTTTTTAACAGGATGGCTTGTCTTTGGAATGTCTTGCCTTCAGATGTGATGGATACAGTTAATTTAAGGGAGCTTAAATTATTTGGTTGCAGAATATTAGGTTATTCGATAAAAGGACTTGACTGAATATCCAATATCTGTTCAAAACACTATTTTTTACATCTGCATTTCAAATAATTAATAAAATCAAGCCATTTATTTCTGTTTTTAATATAGAACACCGTTATATAGAGCTCTTTCTAAATTCGACACCAAAACCCATGAGAAGTGGTTCTGATAGCTTTGGCACTAATATTATGGATGATATGGGAGGAAGTGTAAGAGGCCGTGATTTTGGTGGAGGTATGGGTAACCAGATGGGCTATGGTGGGTTTGGAGGCTCTAGTCCAGGAGGAAGATATGGCAGTAAGGGGGGATTTGGTGGAGGTATGAGTTCCCAGATGAATTCAGGAGGAGGTGGTGGAATGGGAAGATTTGGAGGTAAGATTTTTCTTTTCAATTTACTAATTGGAAAATAGACAATTTGATCGTTTCTTTAATTGCAAGATTTCTGAAAATAGAGGAAAGTTAATATTATATGATACGAAGAATGTGTATTTTATGAAAACAAATACCTGTAGAATTTGCGAAGAAGCATATGTAAATTGGAATTTTAGTTTCATGTTTTACACTGCATAGTATATATAGTGTTTTCTGCCTGCATTTTGTACCATTTTAGAAAAATAAAAATTGCTTTCTCCTACTAGGTGGTGGCATGGGTGGAGGAAACTTTTTTGGTGGATCTGGAGGAATGGGCAATATGATGTGAAGAAACAGTTATATATACAGTCTTTTAACATTGTCATTTGTTGAGTGAAATTGTTTTATTATTTGTCCACTGGTGTATATCTGACTTCATTATTCACTAATAATTTCTGCATAAATTTTTATTTGGTGAAGTGACCTTCTTTCGACAAGTTTCAAATTGTGTTGAAATATGATGAAAAAGTCACTTTATTATTGGATGTGTACTTCATTTTAGTGAAGTTTCATTGTATTAGTGATGTAATTTTTCCTTCACAAATTTAATAGTATTGAAAGTTACAAAAATGATATTTGATGTGTTTAACAAGTAAATAAACCAGATTACATATTAAAGTTAGGAGTTGACACTGCTTTTTCAAGATATTAAGTGTGAAGAGTTTCCTGGAATTTGCAAACTTGCAAATGGTACTTGCTTATAGGAACTTCAGATTGCACAAAGACAATTGGCACTAGATGGATACAAGAAAAGTCTGAAGGTGAAAGATTGAATCCATTCAAAATGTTTTAATTTTTTTTGTAACCTGACATAAATCACATTTAGGTTATTATTTAGATAAAAAAAAAAAAATGTTGTAGAGAGCCACTGATGGATATCATTTGAAATCTTTGAATTACCTCTATTAAGTAAACAAAAGATTTAAATATTTTCTTATTTCTGTCACTCAATGACCCAATCTTAGTGATTGCTCGTTTTTTCACTTGGTGAAAAACTATCAGGTTAAATATTAATTTTTTTTTTCTGTCAAGTTGCTATTGGGTTTAATCAATAAGCAGTAATGTAACTTGTAGCTGATTAAAAAAAAACAACACTTTTTCATTATTTAAGTTATTGCATGAAAGTAGTTGTGTTGGTATTAGTACTTGGCTCAAACTATTTTGACCATTGAATCTTTCTAAGTTAAATAAAAGGTCGAACAGTTCAACCTGTTATTTAACTTTGTTATTTTTGTTGCCTATGCAGTTTTAACTATATTTGTCCATTAAATATTTCTAAACAACAACATAAACATTGACAAACCAATTTAAGAAAGTTAACTTCAATTCAGGATGTTGTGTGGCCAATTTTATATAACCGTACTCAATATTTGAAAGGTTTTTTTCTGAGGTATTCCTGTTCTGAATTTTTGTCTAGAATTAAAGTTTATTATCTTCGCTTTAATATTTCAAATTCTTATTTAAAAAAAATTGAGGAATAAAACAGTTAGGGTCACTGTTTCTTTGATTATAGCTTAACTTGGCAGTCAATCTGTGAATGTGAACTATTCAAGTTCTATGCAGTAGATACGAGTTAATTTGAACGTTAGTTTCTCGTAAATGTTCATGTTAATTTTGGAAACATGTTACTGTAGAGATATTGGTTACACTGAATTATAATAAAATTAAGTTTGTATAATAATTAATGCATTTATTCACTTTTAGGGTTATTATTATAGTTAAGAAGTTCAAAGGATATGCATGAAATGCTTCAAAATGGTCCTTCTAAATATTCTGCAAGGCTTTGCTGCCCAGAGTTTAACATACCTTTTTTTTTCTCATCAGAAATGTTCATGAAAAACTAAGATGGATTTATAGTAAGCATAATATTTTAATCGCATAAAGTTATGTTCTTACTAGGGGGGGGGATCAATTGTTTGAATTTGGATGTACCATCTTGTAGGCAAAAGTGGTAAGAATAAACTTTGATACTTTTTTCATGTGTCATCTATACCAGTGCCTTGCAGATAATGTTGGTTTTCTTCTGTTGTAGTTTATGGTGTATGAAGGTTTGTGTAAGGTTTATTGTAAAATCCATGTACAGTGAAACAAGACCTATCTGATAAGTTTTTAAAATGTTTGTTAGATATTTATAAAATGATGCAGCCATTCCAGATTAGATCATCCACTCATCTCCCACTCTTAGGAACCATTTTGTCTACACAGTTTCACTACCCATTTTCATATTTAATTTATCTACTCATTACCACTTTTGTTTATGCATATTCCATCATTTACAGTTCTTCCACACAGCAGTTTACAACCAATAGGTATAGTACAGTTATTTGTTGAGCATTTTCAAGTGTACAAGTCAACATAATTGTCATTCGTAGTAATAAAATTACTTTTAGTTCTTGATTTCTTAGACTTTTAGTTTCCACATGAAAGATGTGTTTATGAACAAATTTTGTTAGTGTAATTTATGAAAATTGTAAGCTTACCTTAATATTACTTCATACATGGTTAGTGTTGTGTGTACTCTAGTTAACTTTGCAAGAAGTGAGAAGAACATAAAAATATCTAACAAAAGAGGGATTATATAAAAGGAATAATGTTATAATAAACATTTACATATTAATTTTAAAGGATTACATCATGTTAATCTTTAAAATTACAATGCATTCCAACGTTTAAGTTCTCTTACTTACGGAAATTAATGTAAAGAATGTTCTTCTAAAAATATCTGATAACTGAGAGGTTTATATTATCACACTAATACTTTTCTTGTGTCCTGTGAAATCTGAAGTTCTGTAATAGTTTTAAATTACGCACTTTCTTTCACTGGTATAAATAACTTAATTTTGTTTTGATTGACCATGATATTTGCTATAAGGTTTAGTATATCTTACAAATCATCAGAATCAGATTTATTCAAGTCACGATCTTATGCTTTTTTTGTAATCGTTCATAATTTTTTTGTTCTTTAATTTGAAACCACCATTTTTTGTTTTACATTTTTGGCTGCAGTTTTTTTTGTAGAATATGAATAAACTTCTTGTCTTATTACTCTTTATAAAATACGTTGACACACACATTAAATTGTAACATTTGTTTTCTAACTATATTCAACATTTTAGTACGAAATAATTGGTGTAACGATAGTATTTTTAACTGCTTAAACGAGAGAAAACTAAAACTAGCAGAAAGCAAAGCATTATTAAAGAGAATTTATTGACGCAAACAAAAGAAGAATTACTTTGTTACAAATTATTAAATAATAGCTTCTCTGTTGATTTATCTTGCTGAGAGGTAACCAGAGGCGCTGATTCAAGAAATATGTTAAGATGTTAAAAATATTGAATAATTGTTAATAAAAAATTGTCTCGTCATTCATGCTCAGAAAAGCACCAACACACTCATGTATAATTATTTCTTAATCAGTATGTAAAGTTTGTACAACAGATTCTTTTGCGCAAAGCCATAAAAATGGGACTATCTGTGATCTGTCCACTGAGGGAAATCAAATGTTGGATTTTAGCATTCTACTCGGCAGATTTTATAAATGAATGAAAAAACAACGAAACGGAAGAATATGTATAAGCTTGAATTAATAAGAATTGTCAATGGCGACTTACTGCTACTAGTCCATGGATCAGATTCCAGCAATATCATTATTGATCCAAAGGCTACAGCTCACAGAAACATTTTTACATCTCCGATCTGACTACAAATATAGGAAATATAGTGTGCCAAGCACTCTCGGAACTCGATGCACTTAATGGGCGTAATTCTGTCGGCACCTTTGCAGGTCGAGGAAAGAAAAGGGGCGTAGCAGCTTATTCAGTGAAAGGCTGGTTTGTGTAAACTGTACAGCAGCTTGAAATCCGTGCTGAAATACATTAAAATATTTGCATGCAGTCTTCAGGGCAAAAGTGGCAACAATGTTGTTGAGGCACGCTACACCATCTTCTGCAAATGTATAAATGCACTAACGTACCAGGATGTTCTGCAAAAAAACATTTGCAAACAACAATATGGTGGAATCGGGCAGACCACTCTAACTATTGGTAATGTTGGCGTATGGAGGATGGCATTCTGGAAATAGACTGACTGCATTACCTATCTCCTGCATATCTGGCTATGCTAATACTTTTGTCACGTGGATGCTATGACAGCTGCCCAAGTCGTTAGTGTACATGAGTCTCAAACAAAATTCCATGCACAGACTCTTGCCGTTGCACTGATTCGTGTATAAACACAAATCATCTGTCCCAGGTGATGACAATGATGTTTGATGGAAACTTGCCCGCATAGTATTATAGCAAGATTATATTTGTATTTCAGCCATTTTGTGCTAAAGACAATTCTCACTCTAACAGAAACGTATTGTATTAATATGTGATCATATCAGGCTTCGGATATCTATAATAAACCGTTGTAATGGATTATCATAGTATCACACACAGTTATTGTGCAGGATTATCATATGCACAGCATAAATAGCTACGATTTCCAGATAATTGCTCGTATTCTATATGCGAGATGTAAGTGTTTAATACTTGGTCTATTACATTCATATTTGTTTTCAATAAAACTTGGATATGCCAAGGTATTCTTTGAATTTGAAGAGAATAAAACCATTTGATATAGATAAAATTTTTGTGTGACAAACAACACATGCCTTTGGGGTAAGAGTTAATGCTGATTTAACATTTCTTACCTTTTAGAGGTAGGGGTAACTTTGATGCACCAACACAGATACATTTTTCTTAAACTTGGTATTCAAGTTTGTTTTAAACTCAAGCGGAGACATGCCAAAGTTTCGTGACCTAAGCAGTGAAAAAATACCCTACCATAGGCTTCATAAACTGAGTCACGAGATAATCAGTGAATGATAAAGTTAGTGAATTACCGCTGTTTATCACGTAATATAGAAAGGTGATTTTGAATTTTTTTTTTGGAATTACGGTTTTTTCTTATTCTCGTTCATTTTCCTGATTCCATTATTTTGAAGTGATTAACATTGATATTTATATTTTATTCATTAACATTAGCGTCAGGTCCTGGCCAAGCACGTATTTATTAACTGTATTTTTGTTAACTGCTAAATTTTATTATAAGTGTTATTACAGTTTAATAATTTTGTTGTTGTTGTTGAACCCTGGTTGTAATGGCGTGTTACTTTAGGCCGTTACAAGTCAGTCAATGAATTAGTTAGTAAATGCTGTAAATTTTGAATTCATTTGTTAAACAAATTAGAGAGTTTACAAGTGATTGTTTATTTATATTTTTGAATTAGGTAATAATTTGTAGAACTCGTATGTTACAATCTAAGAAATGAATCACATTCTTTATCGTTAGGTGAACTAGACTTTACCTTAATTCCACCAAATAAAGAAAAGGAAAAAACCCTCAGCTATAGAAACCGTTAAAATACCGTTGTCGAGTAAAATTGAATCAAGATCAACTTTATGTGACGACACATGCTCAAAGAGAGAACGAAAACTGATAGAAATGATGAAAACAGTAGAAAGAAGAACAAACTAAAGAGACACAGAATTAAAAGATCTATAAAAAAGAAAGAGTAAATTAAAATAACAAAGAAAAAGTTTTGTTTTGAATTTATGCGCAAAACTACACGAAGGCTATCTGAACTAGCCGTCCATAATTTAGCAGTGATAGACTAGAGGGCATGCAACTAGTCAACACCACTCACTACCTTTCCATGGGCTATTCTTTTACCAACAAATAGTAAGATTAGTCGTCACATTATAATGCCCCCACGGCTAAAAAGCGAGCATACTCGATGATTGGATTCGAGCCTGCAGGTTGCAGGTCGAACACCCTAACCACCAGACCATTCTAGGTCTCCAAGAAGAAAAGGGTTGAAAATAAAAAATAGATTTAGAGGAAAGAGAAAAAAAAATTGGAAGACATATAAAAAAGTAAAAGCAGATAAAAAACATATTTACGGAAAAATTAAAGGAGACTAAGAAAGAGATAGAAAAGTAAAAAATCATTCTGTAAGAAACAGGAATTTAAGAGAAGAATTAAAACAAAGAAAAAAATGTAAAATTTATAGAAGAATTGTGAACACAAATAAATATAACATTTAATTGCAGACAAGATCGAAGAAGCTATGGGGATGTGCAGCAGGATAATAAGATTTTAACGACTAAATCGAAGTATAGCAAAATAAGTGACTATAAACGCAACAACCATTTGACTATTGAAATAACCTGCATTTAGGAATGCGATAATTCATCTATCATGTGATGCTTTCACTTCCATTCGATCAGGTTAATTACACAGACTGGGCACTAGCCGAGTAGAATATTAGGTGCTCGGCTAGTGAAAGTGGGTTTTCTCGGGGTACTTCCGTTTCCCCTTCATCTATTTTTCTTCACTCATAGGATTTACAAATCCCTACCTCCCTGAAAAGAGTCTTCCGATAGTAATAATAATCCACTAGGTCAATGAGGTTGTTTTATTATTGCTATCATCACTACGAGAGAGAAAGGATTTTTACTCCGAACTGGTTACCGAAAAATTCTAGTGCCAATCGGGTCTTTCCTCGTTCCATTTCTGTTCATTCTCAAGAAAAGCAGCCAACTTTATTTCATATTAAAACTCGAACCTCCCTTGTTTTCAGCAATACAGAGCAATCACGAAAGGGGTGAAGATAATTTTTTTCCGAACATCCACAGTTTTCTTTCCAATTTCTAAGTTTAGTTTTGGGATTTTGAAAATACTTTAAACCGAAATAGCCATCACGCGACGACGGCGAGAACAAAATAAATCTATGAAGTGTAGAAAGACTACTGGTAAAATTGAAGAAGTTTTAAAAAAAGCATCTTTATCTGAAATACATATAAAGATTATAACAGCAAAATCAAAGAGATAAAGGTTGAACATCAATGAAAGAATTTATCCAAACTAACTAAATTTCTGTCTCCATCCGCCCAATAATTCCAACCTAAAAACACCACTTACTATGAAATGTAAAATAGAACCCATTTGGGTTACCATAACTGCTGTGCCATCTATCAGCGCAAGACATTTCTGGCCTATCCCAGCTATGTTAATACATACTCCAGTTCCAAAATTTAACTGGCCATTTTAACAACATTGGCCAGTTGAGAAAACAACATATTATGATGAAAAAATACCGTGGAGGTATATCAGGCTCAGTTTGTAAATTTTAAAGTTTATGTATAGAGTTTTTCGTCTTTCTGCTCATTTAAAAGAACCAGCTTTGCCAAATTAAGCAATAATAAACGACTTTTTACTTTATTTGTGAACTAAACCGTAGAGTGGAATTTATAGTTGTACGTTACAGTAGAAGAAATAAATCGCTTTCATCATTGTTAAGTGGACTGGACTTTAGATTATTGTAACCGAATAATATAAACCATCACAACAATACACTAAATTATGAAATAAGTAAAACAAGGTTATGTCTCCGGTTGATTTGCGTAATATTACAACGGATCATGTGTAGAAATGTAGGGGGGAGGATCTTTAAAGATTTCCGCGCCCACCATGTTTTCAGAGAGGCCTTTCACGAGTTGCACACACACACAAAAAAGGTCTACAACTGTACATTTTGTGTATTTTACAAATGGGTTTATACTATTTGGGTCTTAATATCATCACACAGGCCCCTTGGTATAAAAAAGTATTTATGTTTTACAAGCGGACTTTTCATGATTACTGAATGAGTTGGGCCCCCGGCATAGCTGTCCCGGCTACCCCACTATAAATACACCACTGAGGAAGATTGTTTTATGGTAATGAAAAGTAAAAGTGAGAAAAATACATTAAATGCAAATCTGTAATAAGAAATATCGGAAAATATTATTCTGAAATTCCTGTTGTTAGGACATGAGAAAGTTTGCAGTTTTTGAATGCTTGTATTATCTTATTCACCACTTACCATTACACTCAAGTACAGTTTTTGAATGCTTATATTATCTTATTCACCACTTACCATTACACTCAAGTACAGTTTTTGAATGCTTATATTATCTTATTCACCACTTACCATTACACTCAAGTACAGTTTTTGAATGCTTATATTATCTTATTTACCACTTACCATTACACTCAAGTACAGTTTTTCTGCGTCTCATTTTTTGTTCATTCAGATAAATTTGTGAAGGTACTTCTTCAAAGTCACTAATAATCATCCCTTGGTTAATGGGAAGGTTAATACTACCCACGTCCCGAAGGTAGTAGCTTCATATAATGGGTTTGGTCCGTTGCACATACCAATCTCTCCCCCCCCCCCGCCAAAAAGAAAAATATCATAAGCATTAGTTAAAAGCATGCGTACATTCTTAGTTACGGCTTAACGTTTTTCGTCGAGGTTTACTAATGAGAACCCAAATGATCAACTAATGAGTTAAAGTTGCAAAACTATCCGCTTTTCGCAATTCTTACAGTTAGAAGGGCAAAGCGTTGTTTTTATGGTATTATTATTATTATGGCTGGTTAATATTTTTGACTTATGTTTTTGGGTACTTGTGCTTGTGAAAGTGATATTATCTCACGTTTTTATTTGTAAAACATCTTTGGACTGCAACCTTAACTTATTATAACAGTTATTTAACGATATAGTCTATTTGTAATAGTTGGAATATTAGTTTTAACTCTTTCTTTTTCTCGTAAAGATGTGATTTAAAAATGTGCTGTTTTAAGCACCATATGAAATATGTCTACAAACGTGAGACAACTATATAATATTGCATGATAATTTGGGAAGTCTTATGAAAAACACGGCAAGAAACACAAAAATTAAAATTAAAGTAGCCTATTACTTACACGACATGATGACCAGAGATGCTAGAAGTAAGTTCGGGAAGTGGAAAATTATGGAGAAAGCGGTGTTAAAGTTTGGTTATAAACTTGTTTTTTCTCTCTTAAACTTAGGATTTTTACTTCTGTAAACAATTTACAGAGATATACTTAGAAAACACTATTATTACGGTTTGTATTTGAGTAAGTTGTTTTAAACATAATTTTACTTCTGCTGATCTTCAGTTTATTTCTATTCAATATTATATTGAACATTTTTTTGGTTTCATGTTGTTAAAACGATCATATATGTCTTGGCTGATATTTCTATCGCGCAAGAAATTCAGAGCACCAAAAATAACTAGAATTGATTGCTTTTATGGTAATGGATTAAAGGTAAATTTTATCACAACACAAACAATTACACATAACGATTAAACAACGGAAAATGTGTTCAGAGAGAGAATTATTTTTGATTTGAACTTGGTCTTTTCATTTTAAAATTGACGATGAAGTTTTTACAACGTAGAACTTGTCACATTGATATTAAGTTATTAGGTTTTTAACTATAGAAATCTATTAGTTAGCTGTTAAAATTTTTATATAATAAATGATAGACTTACAATACATAGAACCTGCTAATATCCACTGTTGAGTGTTTAGCATCAAAAACAATTTTATGCCTTATTACGGCTTATGCTTTATGAACAAAAATTGGGTTGAAGTTTACTTTTATTATGCATTCCGAAATTAATGGTGTTTACATTTTAGAAAAATGCTCAACTGATTGTTCCATTTTTACGCAACTGTTCAGGTAAGGGAACCAAATGTCGAATATTTCGAGTCACAAAGTTCGTCACAAAATAACAAATAATTTGTATCTAACATTTCAATGGTAAATTAACCTTTCGAAAATGATCTTTGTGTGTGTGGTATTTCAAATATATGTGAAAAAAAAATCCAGTACACCTTGATTTATGATTTTAAGAAATATGCATTCTGCTTGTACCATCTTCGATATAGTCTACTGCTCGGTCCGAGTGATTTTCCACCTTCCTTGAGTTAACTTGCCTCGTTGAAAGACACCCATGTTTTTTGGTATAAATCATTAACAGTAACTTTTAGCAATAACATTAAAAAAGCCTTATTCCTTGAAATAATAAAATCACAGAATTTTTTGAAGGTGCTTAGAGATCCCATTGTCTATTGGTTTCGAAAGGGCTTGGATCAGTGATCAACACGAGCGATTCATAAGGCCGCTCTCGCTGATTCGTCCTGAAAGAAAAAATTTACGTGATATTAAACATATTAGAATTATTATTATCTTTACTACAGATGAAAAAACTAAATGATAGCCCTCGTGTAGCTTTGCGCGAAATTCAAAAACAAACAAACAATCCTAAGCCATACCGTTTGTGAGTTACGACGCCCTGAACCGCAAAACTTTCTTTATAATAATCCTAACTACTTGTATTTAAGACAAAGCAGTTACTTTATTGCTCTGTTCATGAGAATTACATATATGTTGCAAACACTTATGTCGAAATTTGGAAACAAATTTTGAAAAAGAATTTGGAATAAATATTGAATCTTTCTGTCAGTCTTAAATGGATACTAATATTTTAAATTATCAAACTATATCAACTTAAATCATCAAAAGTACACCTGGAAATAGGCTTTCGGTTGGTTGTTATTGCAATCACGAGACTCATTCAATCCATTACATACGATACCTTTAGAAATACATAGTAATTAGTACACTAAATTGTTCATAACCATGCCAGTTAACTTGAAATATACGCTTTAAAGGTGTTATAGCTGAAATAACTGTTCATTTCACTCTCCCATAACTAGTACAGAATATATCTGTGAAAAGATATATTCAGGTAATTTTTCTAAATTTTCGCTTAGGTGTTTAATGACATTCGTGTAAATCGTCTATCAAAAGGTCGCAAACATGTACTAATAATTTTGCTTACTTAGCACAAAGCTATATAATGAACTATGTGTGAACTCCCCATCACTGGTATCGAAACCCGATTTTTAGCGTTATAAGCCCACTGACATACCGCTGAGCCACCGGGGAGGGCTTTTGTTTAGTACATAATAAATACTCATTGATAGGAGTCATGAAATCGTATACCCGTTACTGTATCAGACTCCCTTGAGTAGGATTTTAGTCATTCCAAGGAGTGAATATGTGTATTTGGTTGGTCATTGACAGTGATGAACCAAGGATCGTGGTATTCTACACTAGAATCTTGTCTTGTGCAGACGTGTTTAGGTAACTTTCTTTCTTCCTCAGCAGTCAGTGAAATACATCGCACTTCTGTGAATAAAGATTTATTTGTTCGCTTGTGTTTGCATGCTGTTCTTTGTTGTTTGAGTTCTTTATAACTCTCTGCATTTGATTCAAAGTATAGATTTATCAATCAGTAAGACAAAGATAAAATGGTGGATTTTGACAGTATGCTCCAAGAGCAGTAGAGGCTATAGAGTCTACTAAGATAACTAAAATTAACAGAGTTTGGACCTTTAACATTTAATTCTGATACCCATAGCGACAATTTTAGCACCTTCATTGATATCAGAATATTCTAACATTTTTGAATTAGTAGATCACAGGAAGATTAATTCATGATCAGAGAAAATTTTTGATTTTCTAAAGTTTATTGAATATGTGACTGACATTATTCTATTATTTTAATGATTATCATTTTTGGTTAACCTAATTCATGTCTACTGTTTTTTGTTTTTTTTTCATCGTGCAGGAATTATGATTTTCAACTTGAACGATATCTTTCACGACTCATGGCCTAAACGGCCAGGTCAAAGACCTTTAGGATTCAGATGTAGCCGTCCATAATTTTGACTACTAATCAGCGGGACTGTACCCAATCAGTAACATCAGCTGCTACAAGGGCTCTGTCCGGTTTTTTGAACCGAATGACAGGATAAACTATCACTTTTATAATATTTCCACACCTGAAAGTGTGGAAATTATTTAGAGACATTACGGCTCGAATCTTGGTACAAGTTACCACTATTTTATGATGCTAATCACCGGCTACGCTCTGTCTCCTCGTGAAGGAGAATTGATGTTCCATGCTGCTCTTGATCTCCAGGTCACATGGCTGATGCAACAGGTAGCTATTATATGTATGTTCTAATTGTATTCTGCGCTAGCTAACCATATCTTTAAAACTGTGTATTTCAAAAGTTATACTCTATACAATATTTTCCTGTACATAATTCACTATTTTCAAAAATAGGCGAAAACCTTATCTATTAATTTAGAATGCATTTTAATTTAGCTCTTGTTCGCCAGGCTTTCATCATATTTTTAGTATGTAACGAATTTATCATTATGTATTTATTTTTAATATGAACATTGTTTGGATTGAACTTGTACTTAGAAATATGCGTGACTTGTAGTATGAGATATGTGTTGCGTATAACGAATTTGTTATATATTTATTTTAATGTCAACGTTTGTTTTGAATAAGTTTATATTTGAGGGCGTGTCTAGCTTACCATCTTAGTTACGTATGGCGAAACCCCCGCCAATTCTCCAAGATTGTAGAATATTCGTGAACACAAGAATCAACAATATATCCATTTCCGTATCCGGTATTATTAGAAGTTTCTAGAAAAAGTGTCTCGCCTATAAAAACAGCAGAGCATCGCGCCAAAAAACAACAGAGAACAGACAAGTCTGCTAGGAGATTGTTATAACCGTGTAATCTATAAACTGTGATTTTGCTAACCCTTATCAACCGGAAAATATACGACATTTGACCAGGAAAAGCTATAAATTTCGAACGTCAATCAATTCTCATCAAACGTTAATATCTTTCCAAGAATATTACTAATTTCTCATCGGACATTAGTGGTTTTATGAAAATATTATCTTACTTCAACGGTCCAACAATTCAGTGCCTGACAATACTAGCTAGCTTCCCGCCAATTATATGTACGTAGAACTCGCTGAATATCAAGGATACTCTGAACTAGGAAGACGATTTTAGGCTATTTGTAAGTTAGTGAAATTTCTGTTTATGAAATTTGGTTTGTAATAATTAATCATAATAGTTGCTATTGTAAATTATACTGTTGTATATATATATATATATTAAAACATATTTGTTTCAAAACAAATACGGGTTGAATCAATCTTGTTGGCAAATAGCGTAAATAAAATAAATTATGAATAAAATATGAATTATTTAACGCGGCCTTGGATTATTTCAAGTTCTCAATACTTTACAAGTAGGTTAGCTTTCTCTACAAAATTCCAAAGGCAAAGAATGACAGCCTTTTTGTCTGGTTATCCATTGTCGGAATACTGTAGTCACTGATGCAAACCCTATTTTATTTTTATTATCATCCAAAGTAAGTTGGACCATGTATTCTCTCTTTTATAATTGCATTTACCATATTTAAGTTCACTTTACATGGTCTATTGGATGTTATTACTTGGTTAGCAACTGTGTGGACTTCAAAGATTAGAGGTATTAAGCCCGATAGTTTGGTTGGCTCTTCAGTTCTCGCAACAAAACTGTGTTACGTCGTAGTTTTGTCTTTTTCTGATCTTATTCTGCAGGGTTTTCTGAACTATGTTTTTGTATGGTTGGCTCCAGTCAAGAGCATTTGAAAGACAATGATACACTAGCCCATTCCAGTTATCGAAACAATTTATTTCTTGAACTTGTTTGTTTTTTGTTTTTGTAATTAAGCACAAAGCTACACAATGGGCTATCTGTGCTCTGCCCACCACGGGTATCGAAAC